CTCTGTGGCCGTCCTCGCTGCGCCCCCCGGGCTGCCCGGCCCCCGGTAGCGGCCGGTCACCGTCTGTGCAGCGCTGCTCGGCCCCGGTTCCAGGGGACCCGGCGGGCCCGGAGGGCGCCTGGGGGTCGGAACTGTGTCCTGGGATGGGGTCTCTGCCCACCTCGAGTGCCCGGGGCCGAGAACCAGCGTGGATTCTCGGGCCGCCTGGAAGCTCAGGCCTGCCGCCTGCGGGAGTGCTCCAGGACAGGCGGGCGCAGGCTCTGCAGCCTCTCCACCCTGAAGAAGCTGGTCCAGCCCTGCCCGCAGCGCACTGGCCTCTGCCGAGTGTGTCTGTCTACCGGTCCTGGTCTGGGCTCCAGGGCCTCACCCGCAGTCTCCGACTTCACAGTCAGGCAGAGGAGCCCCAAGGCCCAGAGCCTCCGATCCAGTGTTCTCTTAATCCCTGGAACCGGCCATGTCCCAGGACAGGAGGAGCTGACTGCCTGGGACCTTTGTCTCGCAGCAGCTGCCCTGCACAGCCGAGCTCTGCTCCGCAGCCTCAGAATAGTTTCCCTGATGTGCTTGTTACCTCTTGCCTCTGACCCTTCTCGGGACCCTGGGAGCAACGCCTGTGTGGACCAAGGCCAAAGGGCTGCAGAGCAGCAGGGAAACACTGAAATGGCCAAAAGGCCGGCCTCACACAGGGCTGGAGGCCAGGAGGTGCTGGCCTTTCCACCTCCCATCTAGTCAGTGAGGAGCCCGGGTTTGAGAGGGAAGGGCCTCCCATGTCTCCTGAGCTGTAGGCAGCAAGTGGCTTCCCTTGGGAACACAGTCTGGTGAGAAGTTAGAGCACAGTGTAAGAGGAAGCTGTAGGATTCGGCGACCCTGGATGTGAGGAGCTGAGGCTGGAGTGAGCGGGGAACTGGGGCTCGGGGCGCAGAAGCCTTACAGATGTCAGCCCAGGGGAGTATGCAGCGGGCACACTGGCCCGGCCACCTGAGAAGCAAGCCTGGCACTCAGACCCTCTGGTTCTATGCGAAGAGTCGGGGGGAGTGCTTCACTAGGGTTTAGATCTGCCCAGTGGGACCCCACGGGAAAAACTGGGAGGGGAGTTGGGGGAAGAACCGTGGAAAGGATCTTCCCCTTAAAGATACTCATTGGCCACTGGCTCAGGCCATGACGTTCTCAGCAGATTGGGGGTCACCGAGGGGCTTCACCGGCGCCTCATCCTGTTTGTTCTCTTCCCAGTCCAGGATGGCAGGGTCGCGCAACTGGCGGGCCATGCAGGACATGCGCAGGTACCGGCACAACTACCCGGTAGGTTCCACAGCCTGCCGGGGACAGTCTTCCTACTGGAGCCTGGCTGGTCCTTGGGCTCAAGGGTGTGCCCCCAGGCAGAGCCCAGCTTCCGCCCCTGCCCCGCCTCAGCAGCAGCACCCGTCCTGGTGCAGATCAAAGGACCAGAGGCACGCTGCTGCCGGCAGCCTCACGGACGTGAACCTGTGTCTGTGAACCCCGGGCGGCCCTGGGCTCTTTAGGCTACAGAGCAGGATGGAGCTCTGCGCCTTCCCTCCCCAGCAGAGTGAGGAGCCCGGGCTGGATTTGCAGGTCTTGAGGCCCCGGGGCCTGCAGACCTTCACCTCCAATGACCACGGAGCGTGAACAGGAGGGTCTCCCTTGGGACCCTGCTTCTAAACAGTGCCCACCATCTCCCTTTTCTGACTTCAGGATTTGGAAGAACGAGACTGCAATGGTGACATGTCCAACCTGAGTTTCTACAAAAATGACATCCCCTTCCAGCCAAACGGTACTTACTCCTCAGCTGCCGCCACGAGCTCTCTTCTGGGTCTGGCCTGTTCCTGAGCAATGGAGGTGGCTTTTAAATGGCCCCACAGTGCCCCCTGGGGGCAGCCAAGGGAATCGAGGTTTGAACTCCTGGTTCACAGAGAGGTGGGAGATGAGTGGCGGCAGCCTTTCCAGAAGCAGCGTCTACACAGTGTGCAGGGACGGCTGTGGTGCTTTAAGGGTTGTAGAAAACCTAGCATCTTACGGCATGCAAGCTGAGATTGAAGTGCCACGGGTCCATTGGCCCTTGCCCGCGACCATCGGAGCTCTTACTGTGACACAAAGCACAGGTCTGCTGTCGCAGGCACAGGCCCACCTGCTCTAGCGCCTGTTCTTGGGCTGGGTTCTGCTGTGCTTCTGTTTGAGGACAGAGTTCCGTGCCCAGCCATGCTTAGGGGAGACAAGCAGAGCTGAGTCTGGGACCAACAGAACTTTCCCGGAGGGCTTCCTGGCTCCTGCTTGGGATTGCTTCAGCATTGTGGGTCTGGGTTCTCTGTTAAGGAGGTAGCCTGGGCACATAGAGTTGGTGAGGTTGTCAGGTGAGGTGTGGACAGTTCTACTGAGCCTTAAGTATTCTAGAAGCCGTACGGTACACAGTGCTCTGGACAGCACTGTCCCCTAAGCCCCGTTGAGTGGTGTCTGCGCTGATTGTCCCGTGGGGCTTCCAGGTTGTGTCATCGAGAACATTCTTCAGCAGTGGAAGGACAACTATGATGTGCTTGAGGACAATCACTGCTACATCCAGTGGTGAGTGGGCGGCGTGGGCAGGTCGGGGGCAGCGGGCTGCTCCGGGCCGCGCCCTGGCCTCCTGGGCCTGTGTTGTGCACTGGGCGTTTTGTCCTTGCTGGGGCTGACGTGCACGGGACAGATAACACCTGCACCCCCTTGGGTGGCACCGCCAGGCTCTACAGCACCGCCCACGCCAATGCAGCCTCACTGGGGAGCTGAGATGACCCAAGGCTAGGGAGAGGCTGCCGGTGGGCTTGCGGGGTGGGGATGGCAGCAGACACCGTCTGACCGGGGCCATGTCCTTCTGAGTCGGCTCGAGCAGGTTACCACCTGTCACCCTCAAGATGGACATGTTGCCCCCCAGAAGCACAGTGTGTGCTGCCCCGGACGGCTCCCAGGATCCTTGCCACGAAGGTCTCGGGAATCATCCTGCGGAGGCCGGCTGACTTCTAGGCCCCTCCGCCCTCTTCCTCGTGTGCAGACGTCAGTCACCAACCCGCCCCCTAGAGCCCAGCCGTGAGGCCTGAGTGGGCCACTGGGCCAGCAGGAGCTGGCGTGCTGGACGCTGACCGCTGGTCACGGCCCTCCTTTCCTCATAGGCTCTTCCCTCTGCGGGAACCGGGAGTGAACTGGCATGCCAAGCCCCTCACGCTCACAGAGGTCCAGGTGAGCTCTACCAGGCCAGCAGGGGGCGCAGGAAGGGCAGGGGTCTGGCACTTCCTTGGCCGGCCCCCCCCCCATGTGGTACCCTGCTCTGCACAGGTCCTTGTGTGCTCTCAGTGTCCTCGGCTGCCTGAGGAGCGGAGCCCTGGGGCTCTGACAGCAGGTTCACAAGAGCCACCCTTCCTTCAGCTTGGGGCTGGCAGAGGGTGACAGCAGCGTGGGCTAGAGCAGGGGACTTTACCCCAAGAGACGGAGTCAGGACCCAATGGGTGTCATCTGACCACATGGCCACCCAGGAATTGGTGGTCCAGGGAGGCCCCTGAGCTTTCTGGGGTGTTTTCCAGGCATTCAAAAGCTCCAGAGAGGTCACGGAGCGGCTGATCCGGGCCTATGAGCTCATGCTGGGCTTCTACGGGATCCAGCTTGAGGACCGCAGCACAGGTGCCGTGCGCCGCGCCCACAACTACCAGCAGCGCTTCCACAACCTCAACTGGTGAGGACCAGCCTCCCGCCCCTGGCTTCCTCACGCCCTTGGCCTTCTGCCACCAACTCTGAGCACCGTGGCCAGGCCCGCAGGGCGGGCGGCGACGCAGAGAGTGCGGCGGGGCTGGCACGGCCGCCTCCTGTGGGCTCAGGGACGTCCTTGATAAGCTGGGGTGGCGCTGGCGCGGGGTGCACCTTGCCTCCCAGTGCCCCGAGTCGGGCTCACCCCTCTCCCCCCTCAGCCGCAGCCACAACAACCTGCGCATCACGCGCATCCTCAAGTCGCTGGGCGAGCTGGGCCTGGAGCGCTTCCAGGCGCCGCTGGTGCGCTTCTTCCTGGAGGAGACGCTGGTGCGGCACCAGCTGCCCGGCGTGCGCCAGAGCGCCCTGGACTACTTCCTGTTTGCCGTGCGCTGCCGGCGCCAGCGGCGGGAGCTCGTGCACTTCGCGTGGGAGCACTTCCGGCCCCGCTGCAAGTTCGTGTGGGGGCCCCACCACAAGCTGCAGAGGTTCAAGCCGCATGCCGCACCCCTGCCGGCGGCTGCACCCCTGCCGGCAGCCGGCCCTGAGCAGGCGGAGGAGGTCGACGCCCAGGGTCACTCCTGCGGGCCCGAGAGGGACACTGGCGGGGACGGTGTGGCAGCCGGGGGTCCCCAGCCACCCAGTGCCAAGGCCCAGGGTGTGGGAGCCCTGGAGGGGGACCAGGAGAGTGAAGGTGAGCCTCTGAGCCCCAAAGAGAACAAGAAGAGGAAGCTGGAGGTGAACAGACAGGAGCAGGCCCCGAGAGAGCCAGGCCCCCACAGCGCCTCGGACGTGGAGAAAATCGCGCTGAACCTCGAGGAGTGTGCCCTGAGCCCCGCCGAGCAGGCCGGCGAGCCCGAGCCGCCTTGCCTCCCTGCCCCAGCGGCCGCTGCTGCTGAGGAGGTGCGGAAGCGGAGGAAGGTGGAGAAGGGCCCTGGGGGCGATGCCACCGAGGTCGCGGAGGCCGGTGAAGGCCCTGCCCAGCCCCGGGCCCCGAGTGCGGTCCCTGAGGGCCCAGAGAGCAAGGCGGGGTCCGGGCGGAGGGCCCCTGGCGCTGAGGGAGGCCCTGTGGCCGAGTCCCAGGAGACAGCAGGGATGGGAGCTGCCAAGCCCAGAAAGCCTTAGGGTGGGCGCCTTGGCCCTGCCCAGCCCTGCTGCAGGAGCTGGGCACAGGAAGCCAGGGCTGTCCCTTCTTGGTGCCCAGCAGTGCTGGTCTCTTCTGGTGGTCACTGCAGCGGCTGCCAGAAGGATGGAGGCCCCTCAGGGAAGGCCGAGGCCTCCAACACTCCTTACCTCACTGTGCCCCCGGCCCGAGCCCCGCGCTTGTGACTGGCCCGCCAGGGTCCTGGGGAGAGGCCTCTTTTCTTACTCTGGTGCCAAGCGAGGCCTTTTCTGAATAAACTCATTTGACTTTGTCTTTTTGGCAGCCTGTGAGCTAGTCTCGTGTTAGAAACGGTCTCTGGAGTTCCCTGGGCCAGCCAGAGGCACACCACGCCACTGTCTGGGCAAAGTGCCTGTCCATGCTGCCCTCCCCGAGGAGAGGCCGGTGCAGGACCGGCACCAGCATGCACCGTGTCCTGAGCTTGCAGCCTACGGGGCGAGCAGCGGAGGAGCACACTGCCTCAGGCTGGGCTGGGCTGGGCTGGGCTGGGGTGCTGTGCAGTGGTAGAGTGAACGGCCCCTGGGGCTTGGTTGGGGCGGTGTGCAGCGGAGCAGGGGGCTCTAGGGCTGGGTTGGAAGCTGTGTTTGGGATGCGGCAGATCTAGGCCAGGCCTTTCCAGCTGCCCTGACTTGGGGTGCGGTGGTGTTCCTGGGGATATGGGCCTGGGGACCCCCCGAGGGGAGGAGTCCCTGTGGAGGTCCTGTCCTGTGGACCCCCGAGGGGAGGACTCGCCGAGGAGGGCCTGTCCTGTGGGCCTGGGGACCCCCGAGGGGAGGACTCGCTGAGGAGGGCCTGTCCTGTGGGGCAGGGTCTCTGCAGATGCCCCACCGGCCCCAGAAGCTATGGGACCTCTTGGCATCTCTGCTCTGGTTTGGTTCACAGGTGGCGTTTGTGCCATGGAGGTAAACTGAGCACTGAGATGGGTGTGGCTGTCACTGTGGTAGGGCTCCTGTGACCCAGGGCCTGGTCTGCACAGTGGGGTCTCAACCCTTGAAGTAAAATGAGGCCATGCAGGGCCTCGGGCCATCCCAACACTGGGTACCTGGGAGAGCTGGCCTTACTAACCCATCTGATCCCCTCAGGTTCAGGGAGCAGTGTCCCCCAAACAAGTGGACAGTGGTTCTACTGGGCCTGGTTTAGTGAGCTCTACTAGAGAGAGGCCAGCCCACTCCTTGCAGATCGCAAGGGGCGAGGGGGGAGCGGCTCAGAGACTTTGGCACGCTGTGTCCATCACCAGGTGGAGGCCAGCTGTGCTTCACCCCCCCCCTCCAGGCACGCTGCCACCCGCACGCTGGGCATTGGGGTGGGACCCAGGGTCCAGTGGGAGGAGCTGTAGACGGAGCTGCCAGAACCTCGTCTTGCCGTATTGGATTGACCAAGAGGAACTATTGTGTTTCTGACCCCTGGAGTTGAGATGGGAAGGGGCTGGTCCCCTCCCCCTAACACCCCCTTGTCACAGACAGACAGGCCTGTGTTACCCAGTGATGAAGAGCAGGACCACTCTGGGCTCCCCCCACACCCCCGGATGTATGCAGCTGCACACACCTCTCAGGAGGGCACAGGAGCAGCTGCTGGGTCTGTCTTTGATGGCAGAGTCTCTTGTGTTAGCCCACCTTGTAGATGTGAGAACCGCCTATTCTTGTGCCATTTTACTACCACTCCCTTTATTTTTGCCAGTCCTGGGGTTTGAACTCAGGGCCTGGACACTGTTCCTGAGCTCCTTGGGTCACCACTCCACTTGCTGTTTTACTGGGGGTTTTTGTTTGTTTGGGTCTAGTTGTGGGGCCTGAACTCTGGGCCTGGGCGCTGTCCCTCAGCTCTTCAGCTCAAGGCTAGCGCTCTACCACTTGAGCCACAGCGCCACTTCTGGCTTTTTTCTTTTTGCTTATGTGGTGCTGGGGAATCGAACCCAGGGCCTCAGGCATGCAAGGCTAGTGCTCTACCACTGAGCACTCCCAGACTTTCCTGTCTGGGCTGGCTTCAAACCATGATCCTTAGATCTCAGCCTCCAGAGTACTCTGCTAGGAGCCACCAGCACTGACTGACCACTCCCCTTTTCTGTCCACTCCCTCATGAATTCCCATCATCCAAAGGTTCTGAGACCCACGAAGGGAGCTGATGTTCCTGTGAGTATAACCCAGGCAGCATTCCCGGGCTGCAAGCCTACCGGTCTGATGAGCCCTCGGGGTGACTTGTACGTTTGAGCCCTGAAGGCCCCTGCCCCCATAGCCGTCAGTGCCTGCTGGGAGGAGCAGCCCCTGAAGCCACTGGGGTGGTTCACCATGGGCGGGCCGTCAGGCCCCGCGCCCATCCCCCTAGGTTCACCTCCAGGGACAGGTGCCAGTCTGACTGTGGCTGCTGGTGGTGCCCCCAGGGCCGGCAGGGGGCGGGGAGGACAGCCCTTCTGCACAATCTAGGTTAGGGTCGGGACTGTGGCCCCAGAGCTTTCCTGGAAAGCCACCAGGCTGTGAGGCATCATGGGCCCCGCTGGGGGAGACTGGCCTGCAGCGTCTTCCTGGGCTTGGCTTGGGTCTGGGTGTGCCCCTGCCCTTAAAAAGCGCCTTTCACTGGAGACTTCCCGCCGCATGCTGGCCCACGCAGACAGAAAAGACCCTTTCTTGATTGTCCTGTGCTGAAAGGTGTGAGTGTGTGCGCGGCGCCAGTCCCAGGATAATTTTAACTCCGAGGCCGCCAGAAATCGTGGTGGGGCTCCCCTCCCCCGGTGGCGTGGCGTCCTGCCTGCCCAGGTGGGCCTGGCTGAATGGGGGGCTTGTGTGCTGTAGGGGGCGGGGCCTGCGGCCTCCGCCCCGCCCACCACCGCGCTGCCTGGTGGCCGGGCTCCGGCGCTCAGACACCAGCCAGCCATGGCCCGAGCACCCACCCTGGTCCTGCTGCTGCTGGGGCGGCTCCTGGCGGCCACCACGGCCCAGGTGAGTGCGGCCCAGGTGAGCGCGGCCCAGGTGAGCGTGGCCCTGGAGCGCAGGTCCCATCTGGCAAAGGGCGGGCACACGGGGTTGGGACCAGGGACCTGCGTGGTGCCGCACAGCCCAAGCGGCCAGAGCTGCCCTTGCTCCTTCCCACTACCTGGAACCAGCCCCGGCCGGGGCTGCCCACCGCCCTGGACTGTCCCTGCTCGTGTCCCCACTGCCCCGATCCCCCGGGACACTGGGAGCAGGCTCATCACGGTCCACCGGACGGGCGTGGGGATGAGCCAGGCTGCCCACCTGCCCCTGCCCCGCTGGGTCTGCCTGCCGCCTGCCTGCCCGCCCAGGACCTGGGAAGGGACCGACAATGCGGCCTTTGTTCCCAGATTCCCTGCAGGGCCGGGGACTCAGACCCTCTGGGCCCCAAGGACAAAGTGCTCGCTGGTGCCAGGCACCCACACAGGAGGCGTGGAGGCAGGCCCGGCTGGCAGCGCTGGGTGGGAGGTGGATGTTCTTTTGGAGCGAAGGAGGACGTACCTGGGGGTCTTACTGAGGGGGTGGGCCCTCCTAATGGCTTCTCTCCATTTTAGAAAATGGGACCTCGAGGCCCCCCTGGCCCCCAAGGGCCCCCTGGGAAGCCCGGCAGGGACGGCATCGACGTGAGTGCCCCAGGAGGCGGGGAAGGGGATGAGCGGGGTCCCCATCCCGTGTCCTTGATCCCACGGGGGGAGGGGGCAGGCCTGGGGTGGGGGAGCAGGGTGGGCTTGGTTAGACCTGGGTGAGTGTCCTCAGGACTGGGCCCAGCCCGGGAGGGCAGGGCGTGTGGAGAGCCCGGCCGGCGCCCTGGCCCTGGGGTGTCTCCCCTGGCTCTCCACCACAGTTATGGCCCACACACTTTGGGGAATCAAATGAAGTCTTTCAGCCTCTGCCTCCTGGAGAAGGGGTGTCTGTGGTGAAAATCCCCCCTCCCAGCCTCCTCCAGGAAGGCAGGGCTCTAAGGAGCAGACGCCGGCTGTGGCTGCCCAGAACCTAGCCTCGATGGCCCGGAGCCCCTCACGCACTGCAGAGCCGCTTCTGGAGGAGGCGTGGTGCACCCCAGATCCGCAGGGGTGGATATCTGGGCCTCAGACTCTGAAGTCTGGGTTGCGTGTCCCTTCCTGGAGACGTAGGGCTGTCCCCTCCCCAGCCGTGGTGGACCAGGAGAGCACTTCACCCAGCCCAGCTCTCCGCGGCTCTGATTTACTTATCTAGTTTTAATCTGGTGGCCCCCTTTCTAACACTCTTAGGCCAGTGGAGATGTGGGACTGTAGGATGCATTCCCCAGGGGTTGTCTTGGCTCTCAGATTGCTTCCCAAGTGCCCCGTGGGCTGGGGTGACCCCCTCACCCTGGTGCTGTGGGGTGGGGGGAGGGCTGAGGTCCCGCCGTCTCCGGCCTGTCTCCAGGGAAGCCCCTTGCTCAACTTCCTTGGGTGACTTTCCAGGGATGGCCAGTTTAGGGCTCACACTGGTCACCGCCCATTGCAGGGAGAAGCTGGCCCTCCAGGCCTACCCGGGTCCCCGGTGAGTACCCTCGGCTGTGGGAGAGGGGGGCCCTTCCGGTCTGGGGAGGAGGAGGGGCCTGGAGAACAGAAGGTCATTGACAGCCTTCCCCCCCCCCATACAGGGCCTGTGTCGCCTGGGGGGGGGGCAGCGCCAGGACGGGCGGAGGGGAGCTTGCCGGGCTCGGCAGGGGCTGGCTGGAAGCTTTCTTTGGGCCTGTGCCCACACAGGCCAGGGAAGGGGGTCACCACGGCCCTCCAGGCCCACTCAGCCTGCAGTTGGGCCGGGGAGCACGCTGCCGACGTGGTAGAGGGGTGAGGGTGGACAGGGGGGCCTGCACCTCTGGAGCCGGCCTGTCTCCAGGGCCTCTCCATGTTCTCTTCCTGCTGGGGCTCAGGGCTGAAATGCATCCTTCCCTCCCACCTCTGCCCCTTCCTTCTGCACAGGGGCCAAAGGGGACTCCAGGAAAACCAGGAAGACCAGGAGAGGCGGGCCTGCCCGGCCTGCCCGGCGTGGATGTGAGTGTGCCCCACCCAGGCCTGGCCCCAAGGGTCAGCTTCTAATTGCTGCTGTCCAACTGGGCCTGGTCAGGCAGGAAACCAGTTCTGACAGAAGCTTCCAGTAGTCTTCAGCAGGGACGCTGGCCTCAGGCCCATGACACAGTCAGACGTCCAGAGTTCTTGCTGATCAGAACTAGCACCTCCATCGGCCCCCGCTTGGCGCTGGCCCACCCCAGTGGCCCCCCAGCCCCGGGCTGCTGGCTCTGGTGGGTGGTCATGGGCTCCAGGCCCGGCTCTAGGACAGATCTGAAGAGGGCTGCTGGCCGCTGGATCTGTTCCCATGGACTGCCCCCACCCCGTCGTGGAGATGGGGTGCACCAGGGAAAGGGGGTGACCAGACCCTTCTGCATCGTTTGGTTAAGGAAGGGGCTGTGACTCACTTTTTGTTTTCCTGGCAAGGGGGATGTGATTGCAGATGATGGCTCCTTGAGCGCCCCTGTCCCTCTCTCCCCAGGGTCTGACAGGGAGAGATGGACCCCCTGGACCCAAAGGTGCTCCTGGAGAGCGGGTAAGGGCCTGTGAGGTCCAGAGGCGAGGACCAGGCCAGGAGTGGCCAGCCGGAGGCGGGCGGCTGCGCACCAGGCCAGCAAGACACAAGTCCTGTGCGAAGTGGCCGGGCCTCATGACACCATGCTGACACACGCATGGGCACAGGGTGCAGGTGGTCAGCCCCTGCGGGTGGTCAGCCCCTGCGGGTGGTCAGCCCCTGCGGGTGGTCAGCCCCTGTGGGTGGCCAGCCTCTGCGGGTGGCCAGCCCCTGCAGGTGGCCAGCCCCTGCGGGTGGTCAGCCCCTGCGAGTGGTCAGCTCTGCGGGTGGCCAGCCCCTGGGGGCAGTCAGCCCTGCGGGTGCCCTTCAGCCCATCACCTCGGCTGGACAGCCATCCCAGGACCCAGACCCTGGCAGGTCACAGGTCAGCGGATATGGTTGGGGTTGGTGATCAACCCATGTGTTCCCCTTCCTCCCCTTCCTATTTCTCCCCTTCCTCCTCCTCCTTCTCCATCCCTTCTCCCTCCCTCTTCCTCCTCTCCCCCTCCCCCTCCTCCTCCCTCTTTTCTTCCTCCTCTCCTTCTTCCTCCTCCCCCTTCATCTCCCCTCACCCCTCCCCCTCCCCTTGCTCTCCCTCTCCTCCCCCCTCCCCTTCCTCCTTCCCTTCCTCCTCTCCTTCCTCCTCTTCCTCTCCTTCCTCCTCTTCTTCCCCCTTTCCCTCTCCTCCCCCCTCCTCCTCTCTTTCCTCCTCCTCCCCCCTCCGCTTCCTCCTCCCCTGGGTACCTGTGCCACCAAGAGGGGGCCCACAGTCAGCCCTGTGGATTGTCGGTTGTGCCAACTTTCTGACAGACCCACCTCCCGGGTTGGCTTTCTCCTCTCTTGACTCTGGAGAGCAAGGCTGAGCCTCGAAGCTTCTCCAGCCTGAGGGGGGGCGCTCTGGATGAGCAGGACAGCCAGGCATTGGGTCGAGGGCTGGGCCTGCCCTGGGAACTGGTCGTGAGGGCCAAGATCTGACTGAAAACAACAGCAGGAGGCGGCTGGTGGCTGGGCACCCCATGCCTGCTGGGGAGAGGGCTGGTCCCGGGCTGGGGGGGCTGCGGGTATTGACCGGCCTATGCCCTCCCAGGCAGGGCAGGAGAGGCAGCCACGGAGGGCTGGACGGGCAGGCCGGCTGGCGGACAGGGCCCGGCGGAGGATGATTCCCAGCAGCTCCGGCGCTGGTCTTAGGAGGGGTCCCGAGAGGGGTCAGCTCTGGGGTCACTTGCGTGTGGCTCATGGGCTGGCCCTGGCATTGTGTCCTCCCGGTGGCTCTGCCTTCCCTAGACTGTGCAGAGGAAGTTTCCTGCCACTCTTTCCTCAGCAGGGTGGTGGCAGAGGGTCTTGCCGGGGTGCTGCTGGGTTCTGGGGTGCCACCGGGGTGCCGGGGTGCTGCCGGGGTGCTGGGGTGCTGCCGGGGTGCTGCTGGGTTCTGGGGTGCCACCGGGGTGCTGGGGTGCTGCCGGGTGCCGGGGTGCTGGGGTGCCACCGGGGTGCGGTGCTGGGGTGCTGCCGGGGTGCTGGGGTGCCCGGGCACCGGAGGCCTGCTGTGGCCCCACCCCCTGTGAAGGGGCTTCTGCTCCTGGGGGCCCCCCAGGTGTGGGCCGGGCTGTGGAGCGGGCTGCTCCACCTCCCACGTGTGGGCCGGGCCTCCAGAGGGAGGGGAGCAGGTTTGCAAATGGAATCGAAGGTCCCCACACACTCCTAACCCCCATTTTCTTCCTCAGGGCAGTCTGGGACCCCCAGGACCACCTGGGCTGGGGGTGAGTCCCATCCTGCCTTCTGTCTTCTGCAGAGAATGTGCGGGGAGGGCAAGGCGAGGTGGTCTCGGGGAGCCCGGGGAGGGGGGGAGGGGGAGGG